TATGACACTGTAATATTCCACATTTATTATTAACTAGATAGCTACATTATGACACTGTAATATTCCACATTTATTGTTAGCTAGATAGCTACATGTATGACACTGTAATACTCCACATTTATTGTTAGCTAGATAGCTACATGTATGACACTGTAATATTCCACATTTATTATTAACTAGATAGCTACATTATGACACTGTAATATTCCACATTTAATGTTAGCTAGATAGCTACATGTATGATACTGTAATATTCCACATTTATTGTTAGCTAGATAGCTACATGTATGACACTGTAATATTCCACATTTATTGTTAGCTAGATAGCTACATGTATGACACTGTAATATTCCACATTTATTATTAACTAGATAGCTACATTATGACACTGTAATATTCCACATTTATTGTTAGCTAGATAGCTACATGTATGACACTGTAATACTCCTCATTTATTGTTAGCTAGATAGCTACATGTATGACACTGTAATATTCCACATTTATTATTAACTAGATAGCTACATTATGACACTGTAATATTCCACATTTATTGTTAGCTAGATAGCTACATGTATGACACTGTAATACTCCACATTTATTGTTAGCTAGATAGCTACATGTATGACACTGTAATATTCCACATTTATTATTAACTAGATAGCTACATTATGACACTGTAATATTCCACATTTATTGTTAGCTAGGTAGCTACATGTATGATACTGTAATATTCCACATTTATTGTTAGCTAGATAGCTACATGTATGACACTGTAATACTCCACATATATTGTTAGCTAGATAGCTACATGTATGACACTCTAATATTCCATATATATATTGTTAGCTAGATAGCTACATGTATGACACTGTAATACTCCACATTTATTGTAAGCTAAATAGCTACATGTATGACACTGTAATATTCCACATTTATTGTTAGCTAGATAGCTACATGTATGACACTGTAATATTCCACATTTATTGTAAGCTAAATAGCTACATGTATTATATTATGATATTGTAATATTCCACATTAATTGTTAGCTATATATATATATATATATATATATATATATATATATATATATATATATATATATATATATATGTGTGTGTGTGTATGTGTGTGTGTGTGTTTGTGTGTGTGTGTGTGATACTGTAATATTCCACATTTATTGCTAGCTAGATAAATGCATGTTTTAAACCGTTTAACCAAACCTTGACAACAATGGAATCAATCTTGGAAAGGTTTCAACTATTGATTAGGTTTCTGTTTCTACCTTCGCCTTATTACCAAGGCCACACGCGACTTTGAGTTTGCCATGACAGTATATATGCAATACGTAGCCTTTTTGCAAGGTATATCAGAGACCAATATTGGAATTTTTTTAGGGAAGTTCAAATTTGGTAGAATTGTCTCTCTTCATTTGTAGATGACCCGGTTAGATTTTACAACTTTTTGAATGACTTTTCTACATACATTTTGTAAAACAAAAAGCGTATTGATATTGTGATTGCCACAGTTTATCCGTCCATCATGCCAGTTCCTTTTCCAGTTTTAGACAAAAGTTTCCTAAAATTGGGGAAGTTGCTTGGCTATAAAACCGGTGTGATACTTGCTTTTCTTCTAGCTCCTACCTCTCTTAGATATCAGGTAGGGATCGATAGGTTAAATGCCCAACAAGTTTTCTTATTGCCACTATATTTTGATGAAGTTTTTTTTTGAGACGTGAAAAGCGATTTCTTTATATTCACCAAGTTCTATCTATACCCCAAGGGACTTGGCTGCCGAGTCAGTGATGAGAAATCACTGATATTTGTACCAAAATCACACAGACACGTTTTGGGCATTGGAAATCGAATTCACATATGCAACCGATATTGTCCACATAAGTTTTGGACTTTATATACGTGCAGAGGCGGTGTGTGTGTGTGTGTGTGTGTGTGTGTGTGTGTGTGTGTGTGTGTGTGTCACAAAAAATAAATTCAAAATGAGTCCGGAAACACCGGAAACGTTTCCTGCAATGAGTTTTATTTAAAGTTTGATGGCTAAAATTATGCTCTGGAAGCGCGTAAAATGCATGATCTTCCAGGGACGCCAGCCAAGGGTTCTGACTCGTACACCACTTCCCTACTCCCCCATCCCCGCTGTATTATTGGATTTTTTGCTTGTACAGTCCAAACCTTGCTGGCGCAGTTATGCTAACACCCGCTAACATCCATTAAATTCCACATGCATACTTTTACTTCTATGCAAATGACCTAATTGCACGTCAGATCAATAATTTTGGATCTTTAGCTCGCGTGGCGTAAGTTCAAAAAAAAACATTGTTTCTTTTGTCCTCCATGGATCTTTAAACACCACCGCCACAAACCTCCCCCCCCCAACAAACATCACAAAACAAAATACGGGACTAGTTCAAGTAAACATTTCCGAGAGCAATTTGGCAAGAAGGGTTTTTACTTTTATACTTTCTGTGACATATAAATGAATTTTGTGATTTTTTTCTTCCGTTTTTTGGACGTTAGCATTAGTATGTTTCCCATATTTATAGAAGCGGTCGTTATTAATATGCACGTTAAAATTGTAGGGAAATTCATATTAACGTAATTATAACCATTTCAAATCATAATTTCCTCTTTTTCAGAAAAACTTGGTCCATCGGCTTGTTTATATAGGCAAACTAAGAGTGGACATTCCTGATAGGAACGAGGTTGGAAGTAAGTCAGACTTTCGATGTTGATGTCAGTTTTCTGAACTTAGGGTAAATGGCGCCGGGGTGGGGTGGGGTGGGGACAGTGGCGTGAATGGCGACCAGGACTACGATGCTGGCCCAGATTTGAGGTTCCAAGGGTCGAAGCCGGGGTAGGATTCTATGGGAACGGCACTAGCCCCTCTCACCAGTTAGGGGATTGGAAGAGTGCTGCGCTTCCCAGCGGGGACTGGGGCAGAGGCTTGGCCGTCGCCGATTTTCCTGCAATTTAAGGACATTTGGTGGCTTTTCCTGGTATCTAAATACTTTCATTTCACGGCCGTTTTGGCATCCCAAGAACTCTGACGCCAGGGGCAACCGCCCTTTCCGTACCCAACACCTCGATTAGTACGCTACTGTTCACTACAATCATTGTTACCAAGCAATTTTCTGTGAAAATAAGAAAACATTCCATGCAATTTTCAAACATGCACGCAATCTTGTGTGCTTTTGTGAGAGTATATGTAGGATTAACCATACGATATATTCAGGAAGCACCACGCTTTGCCTTGCGGCAGTATAAATAACGGAGCACATCACTAGGATTATCTTTTTAGCCAAGGTTCCGATATGATAACTTTATCTACCTAGTTTTGTCATATTGGAACCTTAGCTAGCGAAGATGCACTGGGTCTTGGTAACTACCTATGCAAGAGCTGACCAAGTAGCTGTTTATTGTTCGCTAAAATAACCAAACTTACTCTAAATAGCGAGATGCTAAGCCGAAATTTCTACATAGCATCTCAAAGTCTCTAGACTTAACTCGAAATTTTGAAATACTAAGCAGAAAATTCTTGACTTCATTGTGTATCTTAAAATTTCTATTGATTATCTCAAAATGTTAAGTTCTCGAACGTTCTGGTTAATAACTCGACATTTTTAACACAATATCTTGAAATTTCGAGCTGGCATCTCGAAATGTAGATTTTAGTATCTTTGAAATTTTGACCTAGTAAATTTTATGTTAGCATTTCGAAATTTAGATGCTAGTATCTTTCAAATTTCGACATAATGATACAAAAAGTCAAATCAATCTACTTGACCCTGATGCTATTTCGTTACATAGCATAGTCCTTACGCAGAATGAATAACCAAGCATAGCGCTATGGCAGTCAAATCAACCGAACTTTTTTTCAGTGTTGGAGTAGTACGATTTAATTTAGCATAAAGGCAGGGGATATTAGTCACTGAGCGTTCGGTTAGTATGTTTAGATAAGTAAGGGTACGGTAAGAAAGAATAATATGACCGTAGCGCTGGCGCAGACAAAATAGAGGAGCGTAGGCCGAGAACATGTCACCGTGCAAATTTATGTATTAAAAGAGTTATGAAATTAATTGAATAATGTATTATTTTTTTTTTCAAATCAAACTTTCAATCAGTAATGTATTTTGACAAATGATTTGTGAAAATCACTGTTTTGCAGATCATTATGAAAGATTGCTGAAGAACTTGCAGAATGTCTTCCAGACAGAGCCCATTACAGGACTCCTCCTTGTATATCTGAAACATATCGTCCATGTTCTAGAGGTAAGACATACATACATACATACATACATACATACATACATACATACATACATACATACATACATACATACATACATACATACATACATACATACATACATACATTAGTTAAACCTATAGATACATTGTCTCAACTAGCCTTTATAGACTTGTTGCAAACTCTTGTGTATACGCAACGAGTCTATACAGGCTGGTTGAAACAATCTATCTATAGGTTTAACTCGTGTAGAGACAGCCATGTAGAGTTTTACAAACACAACGTTTTTGTGTTTATTTTTTTTGTTGTTTTGTATATGTTTTGTATTTGCCTTTGAAAAAGACTCATTAAGAGTCGAAAGTGCTCAGGCTAGTTAGTTACTAGTTTCGCACTGTTCGTCGTCAGTTTATTGCATCTATCTTAATCCCTGACACACGTGATCCCTTGCTGAATCTAGTGAGCTTATATATATATATATATATATATATATATATATATATATATATATATATATATATATATATATATATATATATATATATATATATATATATATATATATGTCTACTTACATTCCTACCTTTAAGCTACCGGAAATTTAGAAAAATATGAATGCTAAATTAGAGTTTGATCATCTTGGCTTACGAATTTGCTATCACAGATTTCCAATATTTGTTTCCAGTAATCAATACAAGTAATTTAAGCCTCTCCACCTCCGTTTTTACTATCAGTACCAGTGAGATGTGGTAGCTCAGTTGGTATAACGTCGGACTCGTAATTCAAGGGTTGCAGGTTTGACACTCGCCTAGGTCTGCCGAGATCAGGAGTCTCGGTGTGTCAGTGGAAAATGGCACTTAGCTCCCATTGTCTAGGCATGATAATGTGTTATAGCGCCGTTTAAATCAGCAAGAACAAAACAAAAATAACTCACTATAATGAGAGAGAGAGAGAGAGAGAGAGAGAGAGAGAGAGAGAGAGAGAGAGAGAGAGAGAGAGAGAGAGAGAGAGAGAGAGAGAGATAGAGAGAGAGATGTGTGTGTATTTTCCCTAAATGTACATTCTGTTAATTATTTATAGAAAACGTTCGTTATTTCAGGTTTCGACTGACATGGTGACTGAGATTATGCGAGATGTAGTCCACAATCAGGTTGCAAGAGATGGCTTTCTAGAAAAGGCGAAGATATTGGTCATTTCTCATGATGTATCCTTTGTTCGTAAATTCAGATAGGAGAAGGAGACAGCGTTGCTTAAAAAAATGAATCATACAACCTTTCTTTGTCATACCGTTCATGAATGAATGTTTAAAAAGAACTCGAAGTGGATTTGAGAACCAATTGTTTGACAACCTTTCTCTATCTAAATAAAGTGCTAATATATTTTCAATTCTTTGTTAGCAAAAGCATCGTAACAAAGTGAAACAAACTTTCCATACTAGTAGGAACAGTATCATATCAAGTGGAAGAGAGTTACTATATTATACAGCTATGTATCTGTAGCAAAATTCTCATAACAGGTGGAACTGACATGCCATATTTCATTAAGTTACCTGAACCATTAAAGAAATTATCGACAATCGCAACTGGATGCATGGTGGTATAAATCTGTCAGTTGTCATCTTCGCTAGCCAAGGTTTAGCCAAGGTTCCGATATGATGATCTGATATACGTAGAATCTTGGCTAGCGAAGATGATCATTGTATGATAAGTTAGGATGATTCCAACTAAGTTATGCAAGATGCAGGTAGTATCACTGAATTGTCATCCAGGAAAAGTAAATCTGGGATGGGGGAATCACTAACCTTAGTAAATTAACATGTAAGGCCGGCATCTCATCATGAATTCAAGTTCAGAAGAAATGTGCAGAGCATGTGTTTTAATAATAATAATAATAATAATAATAATAATAATAATAATAATAATAATAATAATAATAATAATAGCAATAGTAACGGTTGTAATCGTGGAAGACACTCAAAAATTCCGTTAGCCTTAACAGTTTTCAAATATCCAACCGGTTGTATCAGCAGTGGGGTATCCGTATGTTGGACATTCAGTCAGCACGACTCGAGTCATACGAGTCATCTGAGGGAGCAGAAAAAGTAGTGATTGATCTTTTGGCTCAGCTGCTAAAACTAGGCAACAAGCTGGCAACCACACCAAAGGTTCTCTCTCTCTCTCTCTCTCTCTCTCTCTCTCTCTCTCTCTCTCTCTCTCTCTCTCTCTCTCTCTCTCTCTCTCTCTCTCTCTCTCTCTCTCAAATAAATTTCATTTCTTACCTCAGGCACAGCAGATAGACTAGACCCGTTTCCTTGATCAGTCAACTATAATGTGAAATCATCTTGGCTACTATCGGCACCGCTAAATTGATTTCAAATAACTTGTCATTTAATTTGGTGATTTCTTTGCCAAAAGTTTGAGTAAACTTTAATTTAACAAATAAAGGGCATGTTTGCTTATTCATACGGGTTTGTGACAAAGATAAAACATCTTAGAATAACAACCAAGGGTATTATAGGGATAATGTCCTGCAGTTCATATTTAACACCTCCAGACAGCAGACTGCTTTAAGTTACAGCCAAGTCGATCTGTCTAGTAATAGTTTGATTTCTATGTGTAAATTAGAGTTCTGTTTAATACCTTGTACCAAACTGTGCAGGTGGTTTCCCCATTGGAAAAAAGAAATTTGTTTATTTGGTAAAGGTGAAGGTAACAGTGACTGACAAAAACACATTGATTTTCATACAGTAATAGAAGTACTGCATTAAGTATCTTCAACAAACTTTGCTGATGAGTTTCTCTATAGGAGACCAAAAAATCCAGCTTAAAGTCAGTTGGTCATGGTTACTGTGACAGACAATAGCAAAATTATATCCATGCCATGACAAAATCTTCAACAAACTTTGCAGAGGAGTTGTATAATATATTAAAAAGCTTGTTAATTTGGATTTAAAGAGGTGAAAGGTCAAGATCACATTGAACTGAAGAAGTAAACCCATTTCAGCATTGTACTATATACACCCTCTCCAAAACTTTCATATATGTTTCCCTTTAATGAAAGCAAAATCTCTATTAAATTTTAAATCTTAATGTCAAGATCATTTTGAACTAACAAAAGAAAAAAAAAGTGTTTGCAAAATAACTTCAGTTCCAGTAGCAATATTTTCACCAAATGTCACAGGGGATGAGATGAAGTCTTGATTTCAAGATTAAAGACACCAAGACCCTTTGCTTGCACTCCATCATTTTGTATTTTGCACAGGTTTGAATTTCTAAATAGAAAGTAGAATCCATGAATGTTTGTGTTTGTATGAATCAATTTAATTTAAGCACACAGTACATACCAGATAATGTGGGTATTCAGTATGATTTCCACAAGATATGGATATGAAAGTGTGCCAGGTTTTAAAATACAAAAATGTACATCAGTTGTTTGAGATGAAAACAAAAATGTTTAGCTGGTCAGTTTGTTAAGTCAAATTCAGATACTGAAATCTCATTATTTGTATTAAAATTCATTTGTAAGAATAGAGACAAAAGGAATATATGGAACTTTGTCTTTTTTCATAGGTATTTTGGTTAGTGTTGTTAGCTGGATTTAAATTGTAAAGATGACACATGTAAGGAAGTGATTTTTTTTTAAAACTGGAGTGTATTCTTAAACAGAAGGATGCCATAATGTGCATCATGTTTGATAACTTTTTTTAACATGTACTAGTGGTGATTGTTACATATCAACAAAGAGACTGTTTTCTGTCTTTTGTGAACATGGACCCACTTCCTATCCTTACAGCAAACAATACAATGTAAAATGTTAGTACAAACCTGAAAACTATTTTAGATTGGATTGTCATGAATTTTGAAAAGGAAGATGCAGCAAAACAACAGACTGATTTGCTGCTTCAGTTCTATAACCTAAAATTTGATTTATGGTTAGTATTTATTGTTATTTATAGTTTGTATACATTGTCATTTATATTTTGTACGCATTGTCAGGTAGTTGCCTATTATATTCCTGGTTCAAGAAGAAGGCTTAAATTAAATTCACTTTGTCTGTCAGTCCATGATTATACTGACCAACCTTATGGTCCTATTACACTGTGAGTGTATTTTGTGTATAAGCCTGTGTTACAATTCAAAACTGCATTGCTATGACTCATCCTGCAGGTTGCTTAAACTCAATTCTAGACTTTAATGCTAATACCTTGGATTACCAATATGTAACTAGGACATGAAGGGTGCATCATGGGATGCATATATGTTGTGTACCATAACCAAATTACTGTGACCTACTTTATATGATATAGTAAAGATTGATTACAATTATTTTCACTGATGGTGCATCATGGGGAAAAAGTGAGTTGAATTCCATATTTATGTCACATCCAGACTCTAATTCAAACACGTTTACCTATGCCTCTAAACTTGCAGTGATCATGGTCTATTCTTAGGATGGTGTTGCATATCAAACTTTACTCATCGGGACATACTTTCTATCATTCATTTAAATTACTTAAAACCAAGCTCAAACTCAATTTGCAATACCTTTGCATACATTACCACTGCACTTTCACTGTGGATGCATCTTGGAATAATGGGAGTCAAAACAAAACTAGGTTGCTGTAACACACTTTCCAAGGTGTATTCAAAATTGCTGAAATTCATGATAAGTTTATATTCAGCATTCCTTACAACACTTATTGCCATCTGACTTGCATTTAGGATGAATCATTGGATGTAGGTATCTTGCACACAAAAACTGGGTGTCGGTTACCTTTTTTCTAGTGCTTATTTATTACATGCTGCTGAAACTGGATTATCTTGCTTATTTTCACTAATGATTCTTGTTTTAAAAATATGTACTTTCCTTTAAGATAAACATTATCTTTTTGCTAATATGTCAGATTGTTTTTTATTATTAATCACATTAAAATCATTTACAGATCTCACTAAAAAGTACGATGGATACCCTTCATGAAAAGTTTCCAGATTTACTGCCACAGCAAGGTATGAGCAACATTTTCAACAAGCTCATGATAAAGCAATTTTTTAGAAAGAGAAAAATAGAACTCAAAATAGAACTATTTTCAAATGAACAACCTATTATTGTGATTTGCTTTCAGTTGCATGTGGGTCACACTTTGTCCCTGTCCCAAAAGTTTGCAGAATCACTTTTAGTTGTTGCTAGATATAATTTAAGAGGAATTATTAATTTAAATTATTCATTGTAATTACACTATGCTCATTGACATTTTGGACTAAAACATTACTTTGGGATTATTATGAATTCATTTAATGACATGGATTATATCATTGTGACACAGCAAGATTATTTGTGCATTAACACATTCAAAACTTGTTATATTCAATAACGGAATACATTCAGAACATTCTATACTTTTGGACTTGTGATAGAATATTTAGGATTAACCTGGATTTAATTCATATTAGTGTAAGTTTCTCTTAAATTTTCACTCTGCTACTTAGAGAATGAAATTATATGTTGAATTTTGCAAAACCTGTTGGCTTTTTTTTAGGTTTTTTAGTTTAATATGATAGTTAACATGACATTACAGAAGATCAAGGCCTACACTGTTTCCTTGAAATCATAAGTATAATAAACATGAAAGATAATGGAAATTTATTACCTAACTATTTAATCATATTTTTATCGTTCATCTGGTGATCAACATGGATGCTCGATCTGTTTCCATACTGCATGATTGACTGGAACAAAGTTGCTGTTTACACTAGCAGTCATACAATGATGCATTGAATATATATATATATATATATATATATATATATATATATATA